AGATTTCATGTCTCCCAAGGGATTGGGTTTTGCTGGTTAGCCAGGGAGGTGATGTCAGGGGAACTATCTGGTGGAGGGCTGTCGGTGGGGTGTACTTTTTCAAAAACTCCCAGCCCCTCTGGCAGGCTTCCCTGCATGTGTCTTCGACTGGAGCACAGGTCCTGTCTCGCAGGTTTTCAGGTGTGCTTGGCTTTTCCTCAGCTTTGTGTGAGTGTTCCCAGTGGCCCCGGGACACAGGCCTGCACCTCACTGTCCGTCTCAGCATCGTCCCTTATGACCTCAAAGAGACACACTCACTCCCTCTGCTCTTGGGGGAAGTCAATGCCATGTGTGGTCACATTGGCTCTATCTTGGCCTCGCCTTTGTCTCTTGTTGCATGTGTTGTGGAAAGCTGTGTTGGGATTTCGGAGTCCCTGGGCCTTGGAGATGAAGGTAAACCACTGCCCTACTCAGGAAGGAGGGAGGCAATGGGCTCATGGGCCAGTTTATTCAGCCAACAGCAGGCCATGCAGCTCTTGGTATCTTTCTGTGCCCCAGGGAGGCCCTTCCCACCTCACTACATTGTAACCCCATTCCTGATCACCCGGTCGGATCCATTGTTGGATTCGAAGAGGTGTCCAGAGAGCCCAGCGGGCACCCCGAAGCTCCTCCTCCACATGGAACCAAAGCAGAAAACCAATCAAGAAGGTCCTGACGACAGGACTCCTATGGGTCTGACCCTGGCTCTCGCGCAGGCCCCTCTCCTAGTCCTCTTCCCACCCGCCGCCTTGGACTGCTCCGCTGCTGCCACCGCTGCCCCAGTCCCTGCAGCCGTCGCGTCGCCACCATTTTTTAAGGGGTCCCCAGCCTGACTCTCCGGAGCAAATGGGGAGTCGGCCTCGCCAGTGCTCATGCCCGAGGCCTGAGCCGCCGTTTTGGTCACAGCGATTGACACTGTTTCCTGGGGATGGGTCCCTGAGACTTGGCGAAGTAGAAGCCCTGTGTGATAGTGCGTCAGAGTCGGGGCTGAGAGCAGTCCTGGCCAGGGCGTTAACAGGATGGTCTCCAGAGGCCGGGATTCACGGAGAACCGACCAGCAGGAAGAAACCTCAGGAGGAAGAAACCTCAGGCAGATCTCCGGGGAGGCAGCGCAAGATCCCAACCTCAGGCCAGGATTCGCGGAGGGTCAAGGAGGCCTCTCTCCCAATCTTCACTTCACCTGCCGCCGCCTCAGTCCCCGCAGGCCCCGCTCCGCCATATTTTTTTTAATGTAGTCAGTGTCTCACTGTCACCCAGTCTGGAGTGCAGTGGCGAGATCTCAGCTCACTGCGAAGTCTTCCGCCGGGATTCAAGTGATTCTCTTCCCTCCGCCTCCCGAGTACCTGGGATTAGAGGGATTAGTCAGAGTCAGGGCTAAGACCAGCTCTCACCAGGGGCATAGACCGGATGGTCTTGGAGGCCGGGATTCACGGAGGGTCGTCCAGGAGGAAGAAACCATGGGCAGAGGGCCAGGGAAGCAGCGCGGGATCCCAGGCTCAGGCCTGCACCGACTGATGGTGTGCCAGTGAGTCTCTTCAAAAGAAGAGAGGTTTGCTTGTGTGCCTGTGGGCTGCTCTCTTACCCACGGGTCATGGTCGCAGAGAGTAGAACCCGGCAGCTTCAGGGGCTGCCTGGGAGTGGGTGTTACCGTGCCACTGCCATATGCCTTTGTGCGTTTGTATGTGTGCCTATGTCTCTCTCTTATTTCTCTCTCTCTCCTTTCTCTCTCTTTCGCTCTGTGTCCGTGTGTGTGTGTGTGTTGGGACGCATGTGCCCTGTGTGCTGGAGGGTGGTATCTTGTACGTCGACCTTCCTTCTGGTCAGCCTCTCCCTGTGTCTCTGCCTGGGGCATGTGGCCGGTTGTCAGTCGTTTTTCCGCTGTTCCAGTGTGGGTTTGTGAAAGTCTGGACGAGGTGGGGAGCTGTGTCTATCTGGTAAGGATTTAAATCACCTCTCCACCCTAAGAGGTCTCTTATCTAGGATTAAGACCTCTACCCCCCAGCCAAGGATAATAGTCTCACCGGAGAGGTCATTGTCTACCTGCAGGAGCGGTGCCGAGCGACCTCAAAGAAGATGGTTCTCATTCCTCTCTCTCTTCCATCTCATTGAGAAATCTAGCCACAGGGTAACACAGGTTTTGAAAAGAAGGGAACGGGAGCATGGCAAGGATCTATGAGTGTGCAGGCTGTGTTTCACATATCATTAAACATTGTCTAGTGAGTGTTCTGCAGATAGCTGGCATTTAACTTTGTTTTATTGAATCAAGGAAAGAAAAAATACTGAGGAAAAAATGACACAACTTGCCTGCCAGTCCGTCTGATTGTTACAAATTTAATAGTAATTTTAATTTATTTCATGTAAAGGTCCTTGGCAGTGATACCTAATTTCCTAAGATAGCCTTGCTTTATTTGGTATGATTAAGATGTCATGCATATCAGAGTATCTGGAAATTCTTCCCAACTCCCTTGACATATTGATTAATCACATTTCCAAAATAACATAACAAAACAACAGAAAATCATTTGTTACTTAGTTCCTTCAAATTTGTTTATTTAAGTTGTGGTTCCTTCATGTGCGAAACATTTTTATGTATCTGGCACTCTTCCAGCCACAAATTTCATCTTAAACAACCTAAGTATTGAAATCCTTGTGCCCTTTGATTAATTTTTCCTACATAAATACTTTGATAAAAAGCTACATTGAGGCCGGGTGCAGTGGCTTACACCTCTAATCCCAGCTCTTTGGGAGGCTGAGGCCAGCAGATCACAAGGTCAGGAGATCAAGACCAACATAGTGAAACCCCATCTCTTCAAACATACAAAGAATTAGCCAGTGGAGGCCAGGCGTTGGTTCATGCCTGTAATTCCACACTTTGGGAGGCTGCGGTAGGCAGATCACTGAAGGTCAGGAGTTCAAGATGAGACCAGTCTGCCCAACCTGGCGAAACCCGTGTCTACTAAAACTACAAAAAATTAGCCGGATGTGGTGGCAGGGGCCTGTAATCCCAGCTACTCAGGAGGCTGAGGAAGGAGACTTGCTTGAACCCAGGAGGGAGGTGGAGGTTGCAGTAAGCTGAGATCATGCCACTGCACTCCAGCCTGGGTGACAAGAGTGAAAATTTACCTGAAAAAAAAAAAAAAGAAACCTTGTCTATACTAAAAATACAAATATTAAACCCTGAAGATTACGTCTGAATGAGAAAGACATTGTTTGGCTCAAATTGTCTGACACTAAGGAATAGTGCAGACTGGCCAAGTGAGGTGACCCACACCTATAATCCCAGCACGTTGGGAGGCCAAGGCAGGTGGATCACCTGAGGTCAGGAGTTCAAGACCAACTCCTGACCAACATGGTGAAACTCCGTCCCTACTAAAAAAAAAAGTACAAGAAAATTAGCCAGGCGTGGTGGCACACGCCTGTAAATCCCAGCTACTCAGGAGGCTGAGGCAGGAGAATTGCTTGAACCCAGGTGGCAGAGGTTGTGGTGAGTGGAGATCGTGCCACTGCACCTTAGCCTGGGCAACAAGAGTGAAAATCTGTCTCAAAAAAAAAAAAAAAAAAATAGTGAAGAGTTAGGGCAGATTTATTTTCAGAGAAGCAGGGAATCTGGAATTTTGGGTGAAATGTCCCAATTTCCAGAAGCTGAAAATGCTCTCAAATGTAAAATTCAAGTTAGCCTATATCAAGATTCTCCTTGTTCTATGTGTGAATAGCTAGTCTGTATCTTCACCTATGTATATTTAAAAATCAACCTTAAGAAGGCCCTTCACCACCATAATCCTTCCACACGGTAGCAAGAGCCCAACCTCTGAGACTGTGCTTCCTTCCCGCCTCCCACTGGAATGCCTTCCCCCTAATCTCCAAGGTATCAAACCGGTCAGGGACAGCTGAGACAACCCTACTTCTGGGAGTCCTCCCCAACCCCTTGAAGTCACAGGCATCTCTGATGTCCCTGCCCTTCATCCACATCACTGAACAATTAAGTGCACACATCTCT